TTGAGCTTCCTCCTACTCCTTCCTCTGTGCTCCGTTACCAAAGTGGATTTGAATTTATTTTCCGCTAAGCCTTTAACTTTACTTTCAGCTCATAATCTTTTTTTTTTAATTTTTTTATTTATTTTTTAATTTTTTTAAAATAAAATTTACAACTGTATTACATGGAAATTACAACAAATAAATGCGGCATTGGTAACATGACATGTACATCATGAAGAGAAACTACCCATTGGTAGAACCCAAATTAAAGTTCTATATTAGAAGGTCCCGTGGCCATCTTCTTTTCAGACGCCTCGGAGTGTTATCAGGGATCGAGGAGGATGCAAGGTTGGAAACAAGAGGATTCGGATGTTTCTGCAGTTTGTTATGGAAGGATAGGTATCTGGATTGGGCCAAATCGGAAACATATGAAACATTAAGGTCTTCATGGATGATGTTATTTGTGACAAAGTAAGGAGCAGTGATGATTTTACGTAGGATTTTGGAATATAGGGATTGGATACGAGAGGAATTCGATGGTTTAGTGAAGCCCCAAAGCTCAATTCAGTAAGTCCAAATAGGTCTTATTATAGTCATATATATGAGTCATTTGTAATTGATTGACAGCTTAGAGCGTTTGTCTAATAAGTGCTGCAGCAGTCGAAAACGTCGGGCGGTTTCTAGTCGTTTCAGTCTGGAATGGGGGTTCCAAGTGAATCGTTTATCAAGGTGGAGTCCTAAGTATCGGATTGGTTCGACAGGGATAAGAGAGCTATTGTTGAAGGATACTGTAGGACAGGAAGTCATAGGTTTACGACGAAGAGTGGAGGTAATTTGATGGGATTTATTGGAATTTATTTTAATCCTCCAGTTTTGACACCATTTTTGAAGACTTGTGATGTGTGATTGAAGAGTTTGGGATGCAATAGATGGATTGTGATGACAGAGTTGGATTGTGTTGGGATGACAGCTGTATAAACTGTGTAATGGATAAGACCTAGGATTCTATCTTGAAGAACACCGGCAAACTGATTAAAAAGAGATGAATAAGCATTGTTATGATTGACTTTGAAGTATCTGTCAGTAAGGTAGAAACGGATAATGAGGAAGGTATGTAAGTGATAGGAATTTACGTAGTTTGTACATCAGTCCCGGATGCCAGACTCTATCAACACCTGTTCAAAGCTCATAATCTTAAAACTACTAATACAATTAAGATGAACAACTGCAGTATAGAAATATTTTTTCTTGGAATTTTTATTTAATTACGTATTTATAAGGCTCTACCCCTAGTTTAACTATTTTCATAATTACTCTACCAATACGATATTCTGGAGTTTCCTCAGTTACTTTTTTGTCACTTATTTAGAACTGTTACAGATTTATCAAATACACCTGATTTAATTAAATATTAAGATTGTATTAATGAGGTTATAACCGGAATTATCAACGTATTGTTTTATTGAGAGTGTGGAATTAAAAAAAATAATTAAATATTAAATTTTAAAAAAATAAGGTGTGTACTTTAGACCACACGATAGTTGTGAAAACAATAAGGCGAGATTAATAATATGAAATATAAATTATAAATAATAGCTCATTATGAAGATAATGAAATACTGAACATTTCCCTCGCTGAGATAGTTTAATCCATATTTTCAATAAAATTCGTTATTATTTGGTTTTGGGAACTATATTTTCCCCCTCCTACACTCAAACACAGTGTTAGGTTAAGATACAATTTTTAATAATAGCTCATTACAATGAACATGTAATGATGAACGTTTCCCTCCTTGCAGTATACAGGTTCAATTTTTGCTATCTGAAATATTTTAATTTACATGTTCAATTAAACTCGCTATCATTCAGTTTTCGACATTATTTTTCCTTTTCGTCTTCCTAACATGCCTTTGCGTTAGATACAATTTTTAACTATACCCTATTACAGACAGGATGAAATGCTGAACAATTTCCTCGCTTACAGTATGCAGGCCCGATTTTGTTTACAAGATATTTTTATCCATATGTAAAAACATTTCAATTAGTCAACCCCAGCCGACTTTACCCGAGCGTTAAAACTAAGGAAATCTGACGGATCAATCTAATTCACTCTCCACAAAAAAAGTGCAAAACGCGAGTAAAGAAGTTCTCACTTCAATAATTACATTATGAGGGGCATCATTCATTCATTCACAAATGAAGGGCATCAAAATGATGATGAAGAAAGGAATATTAGAAAGAACAAGGAAATTTTCCACAGCATATTAAATTGAAGTATTACAGCTAATAAAAAGCTTTTAGCCTCCTGAAGATTAATTCAATTAAAAGTTTTCCAGGATTTTTGCTGTTTTGATGCCTTTATCGACCACTGTGCGCCGTGATAGGGAGGCGAAAAGGAAAGAATAGTGTCGCAAACCAAATGATAACGAGTTTTATGGAAGATATGGATTAAAATATCTAAGAAACTAAAACACAGACCTGTAAGCGAGGGAAATGTTCAGCATTTCATCCTCTTTATAATGAGCTATTATTTATAATTTATATTTCATATTATTAATCTCGCCTTCTTTATGTTTTCACATCTATCGTGTGGTCTAAAGCACATACCTTATTTTTTTTTTATATCAGACACCATTATAGTAGCTTTCTTTCGAGGAATTCGTTTTTTTTTTTTTATTTCCTAAATGATGTATCCAATCTGTATCATCGAGGAAAACTAAATTTAAATTGTAGTAGTGATTTCATGAATGACACAATGAGACCAGAATATTTCAGATTACTACGCTGACGACTCATGGTGACACCTCGTATGACGTATTATCTATCAGCCGGCAAGGTGTACACACGATGCCATCATCGTATGCGTTAGCGCATGTTTATCTTCGAACAGGAAATTATTATTCCAAAGCCAATTAAAAGTTTTAGCTGATAACGAAAAATGAAAGAAATTTCATCATGTCTCAAAATGCACACATAGACAAAAGTACTCGAGAACCGTGTCATCCTCGGAAATTATTTCACTTTTTTATAAAGATTTTTTACATACACCCGCATAGATGGAAGATAGATTTAATCAATGCTACAAAATGTTTTAATACAAATCACACGAAGAGGTTTCCAATACAATGCAATAAGATGTTGATTTAAAGTATAAAAATAATTATATTTTCTCTTATATATTCTTTATCAAAATTTTTCAAGGATGTGTGTTATTGTTTTCTAGTGATTAGATGAAGGTAAATCTGCCATTTGATGTATTGAACCACCTTCGTTTGTTTTTGACTATTTCTGTTCTGATGTTTCTCAAAACAAATTTGTTAATTATTTTTTAATGATTTCTCTAGCAAAAAAATATATTTGTTTTTTTACAGATTAAGTTTTTTTTATCATTATTTATTTAATATTTAAAAAATCTACCATACTCAAGCATGATAAGTATTAGAGCTAAAACTATCTACTCATACAATAGATCAGATTTAAATTAGAAAACACTTTATCTTGTTTTCGCCATTTTGCTTTTCAGATGATCAAGATTTTAAAATGTATAATAACAATTTTCTCCATTTTTACCCGAATAAATTGATCATTTGTAAATTTAACCATTTAATAATTAGGAATAATTACCTGAACCGATTCTTAACTTTGACGGTTCAAATTTCTCAGTTCTCCCGAATGTTTTGAAACAATGAATTTAATGAGTTGAAAATATTGATATTATATATAATACATTTTAAGTATTCTCAATTTTCTGTTAGTTATATATCATATCATTATCAATTATTTTTGGACATAAATTGTCAATACTTGAAAAACGAAAAACTTTAAATAAAACTTAATAAAAGATTACTGAAATAATCCTATCCATTGTAAGAGAATTCACTTGCATATATTTTACCATTGTCGTTTCGTTCGGGTTTAGAACGAATATTTAATTTTTAATGTTTAAATATTCGTAAATGTCAATTTCCCTAACAATCTAAAATATTTAAGTAGATGGGCCAGTCCCTAAGGATGGATAGAGTTATTTCGATAGTCGGTTTTTTTTTAATTAATTGGATTTTTAGTTATCATTTTTCACTCTAGGCCAATAAAAAAATTAGTGTAATTTCGGTAAAGTTATAGATTTTATTTCAAGAACAAACATCCACTATTGTACTTGGTATTTTTCATTATTGTTTTAAGAACTTCTAATGTTTCTATTACCTGTACTCCATCTCTAGTTACTACCGTATAAGTGTCACTCCACTTTAGAGGAATTTCATTCCAATCAATCTCATTTCGAGAATTGCCGAATGTATCCGAAAGTAGGTGGAATTGACCGCACCATCTGGTAAGATCCCTACCTAAACTTAATAGGACCCTTTGAGGATTTTTTTACCCCTTCAGAACAAGTGTAGCGTGCGGGAGTCAAAAGCAACTTGTAATTAACGCCCCGAGAAAGATGTAATTAACTCTCCGATTTTAACTTAAAAGTGGGCGGGGTGTCCGACTGGGCAAACTTTTTACACGGAAACCAATCCCCCCTCCTTTTTCCACCCCTTCCTAGCCTTTTTAGGATTTATGGGGATTTTCCCAGGCAAGAGGAGAGAGCGGGGGATTTATTCCAGATTTAAAAGCCACCCCGGCACCGGGACTTGAATTCCCGATTATTTTTATATCTCACAAAATTCAGTTATCATAAACTTAACCGAAGTTTATATGATAAAATAACTACGAGTTGGCATCCCAGTGCAGGCAGAATTTTAATACATTAATCTTCCACCCTCTCCCCTGACCGGGGGAAACTCCCGTATAGTCTAAAGTGTAAGGAAGGGATTGGCAAAAAAATGAAAAATACTAGTTAGGAGTCGTAAATCGCGATCTAAATAAAGGAAGGTTATACTGTGAAGGTAACACGTTGTTAATCTTGGAATTCCATTTATAGCGTGATCATAGAATATTGGCCCACTCGTCAAATTTGACTTGTACAGTTGTACCCACCTCTACTTAAATCTTAACTGTATGTTTCATCTCCTTTTCAGGTACCTGATTGCGTTCAAGAACTTGCTGCGTAGCATCGAACACATCGGGATATCGATGGTGAGCGGCATCAACTACTTCGCCAGGGGCAACCTCCCGCAGGACACTTACATCGGATTCGTCAAGGACACGGTCATCAGCCAGGACCTGCTCAACGGGGCCTTCACCTACTGGCCCAGGCTGAAGACTCTCTACCAGAACCTCACCGCTCAGATGCCCAGTTACGAGCTCATCAAGCGGAAGTGAGTAAAGAAGTAATTATTAGAAAAAGTAAATATTCTCTGATAGAATTTTAGGCATTCAAATTAATTTTTATATTTAATAATTATTTGGAGTTATTACTTCATCTTGTTCTTTGGGAGAACAGTTAATACAGATAAAAGTTAAAAACCAATTATAAAAGGATTAATCCAACTCAGCATTAATATTTCTATTTTTAGGTAGAAATATTAAATATTTAAATTTTGTGAAAAATTGGGGTATAAATTTAGAACAACCAAATTTTTATTTTACAGGTTTAAGAAAAAAGTAGGATTATTTTGACAAAAAAATTAAATATTCAAACAATATAACATTTGTACACAAGTACTAGAAAAAATAAAATACATTGCCTTTACGTATACATTTTTTTTTCTCTTACCTTTATTAATTTAAATGACGTGCCCTCCAGTTTATATTGACAACAATCAAATTCCTCAAACGGACACGGTACTTTACCTTGGACTCACCTTCGACAGAAGGATGACATGGGGCTCGCATGTTACAATGAAACGTAAGACACTTAACAAACGACTCAAACTACTTTACTCTCTTTTTTCTAAATATTCAAAACTAAAACTAAAACAGAAATTCAATAATACATACTTACTTAAACCCATACGGACATATTCATCACAAATATAAGGTATCGCTAAAAAGACCCACCTACAAAAACTTAAAATGTTCCAATAAAGATTATTGGGACTCATAACAAAAGCATCTTGGAACGTGACTAACATAACTTTACATACTGACCTCCACCTTCCAACAGTTGACCAACATATAACGACCCTTTATCAACGATTTTAAACTAATTTAAACGGACATAATAAGAGACATGACCACTGCTGACATATCTCAGAACATGAGGAGGAGACTACAACGGCGTTGGATGAGAGATCTCCTTCCTTAAACAACTAAAGTAATTGGAACAAGTTAGGGAAGAGGTACTGCTGAGTGCTTTCCTTCCCCATGCCTTTCATGTCATTATTTCATGTACCGCCATCACATTGATTTTCAACAAGAAGTTTACAGGCGCAAATACATTTTTATAGACAAAAAAATACACATGTTGTAGCTTAAAAAGGATAACTATTTTGATTGTTTAAGTATTTAGTTCACATCACTAACAGAATCAAACACGTAGTAATGAACAAATTATTTTTTTTTATTTTGGGGGATTCAGTCCCGAAGACCCCTCTCCTCCCATGAATTCCTTACAGCCATTTTCTACATAACTTATAGCTACTTTTAACCCACATAAGAATTGACATTTACAAGACACTGTGAGTGATAAATATTCAGGACGCAGTCATTATAAAGTTTTTATTAGTGCCGACGTTTCAACCCAAATATGAGGGTTATCATCAGGGCTGAAAAAATTTAAATTAAATCAAAAATATAGTATTATACGACCGGTAATGGTTAATAATAAACTATAGTGATTGATGCTACATAACAAGACAATTGTGAGCCCTGTCACTATATTAAGACTTACACCATAACTACAAATAATTCATTACTCCCGCTTCCTTGTTCCTCTTTTAAAATGCGCCTTGTGCAGTAAAAGAGGTCACATTTAATTCTCTCTCCTCTTATATATGTATATATATATATATATATATATATATATATATATATATATTTTTTTTTTTTTTTTTTTTTTTTTTTTTTTTTTCTAGTCAGATCCTTCAGGTTTGGTGCCATTTTCTCATAATTTATCATATATCTATTTTAGGCCAAAGGTCACCAAAAAAAAACACAGTTTTTTTATCTCCTCTACGCTTTATTCAACGTTTCGGCTTCAGGAGCCATTTTCAAGAACCTGCAAAACTAATTTCAACTTATTTTTTACCATTCAAATACATCCTTATCAGACACATATTATTTAACAACCACAACAAACAATTTAACAACAAACATAGATAATTATAAAGAAATAAAGGGTCCAAACATCAATACCAATATAAAAACTAATCAAATAAGACCAAAAATAAAAAAGCAAATCTAATCACAATCTATTTTAAAGTAGATAATACTAAAAAACATAAGCATAACAAAGAAAATCCTGATCTACAATTTCAGAATGAGAAAAATAAGAATATTAACGCAGACCCCAACCCCAAAAAATACCTTTCGGTCACTTATATTAGAGGTTTAACTTATAAAATTGAAAACACTTTTAAAAAATATGATATAAATGAAATCAGATTTGGGAAAAAAACCTATTAATAAATTAGATAAATTATATAGTAGAACTAAGGATATTATTCCAAAAGAAAAACTAACTAATATTGTTTGTAAAATACAATGCGAGGATTGTGAAAATAAAGCATATTACGGACAAACCTCACAATGGTTTGAACGTAGGATACAGCAACATAAACAAAATTGCAGGTCTAAAACGACAAAATCAAAATTAGCCACAGGATTATCGCAGCATACCACAAAAAAAAGACATAAATTTGATTTCGGTACTGCTTCCGTGTTGCATAGAGAACAGAAAATTGGGAAACGTAGAATCATTGAATCCATTTTTATTACTAAAAATCTTAAACATTCAGTGAATCAACAGACAGATGTTGATAATCTAAACACGTTTTATGCTAGCACAATAGACAAAATTAATATATAACATACTGATATAAAACAGCTGATCCCTAACCTCTCCACCCCACTCCTTATGTAAGTAAATCCAGTCCTGTATGAATGCCCTATTGAGGAACAACAATTTCTTGATACCGTCTGCGAATAGAGGTATATAAATCGAAAATTAATAATATTCTTTTTTTTAAATTAATTATGACAATCTATTTTAATTTATTGTTTATATATTACAATTTTTAGAAGTGGAAAACGACATTCTTTGAAATACAAGAATGAATAAGGGATGAATCATATCGCAATGATAAATTTTATGGCGCGGTGCATGGTAGGTGGATGATATAAGTTTATTCAAAATTAAAAATAAATTTTTGGACTAATTGTATTACTTGTGGTTGTTAAATAATATGTGTCTGATAAGGATGTATTGGAATGGTAAAAAATAAATAGAAATTAGTTTTGCAGGTTCTTGAAAATGGCTCCTGAAACCGAAACGTTGAATAAAGCATACAGGAGATAAAAAAACTGTGTTTTTTTTTTTGGTGACCTTTGGCCTAAAATAGATATATGATAAATTATGTATATATATATATATATATATATATATATATATATATATATATATACATTACATTGTACTTATATGGGAGTGGGGTATTTCACTGGGTGAGCACTGGCTTCTAGAGCTCAAGGTCCCAGGTTCGAATCCGGCTGATGACTAGTTATATTTCATACTAGCAGAGGATCGAACTTGGGGTCAGGAGCCTCTTTTGGGGCACTCCCAGTCTCTCTATAAGGAGGGTGCTCTGAATTAAATAATAAACTAAGAGGGAAAACATTGAGAGTGATCTCGGCCCAATCACTTCCCTGCACAACCGTTGGCCTATGTAACAGTACTTCATCACATAGTACTTAACCCACTGAAGCTGTAGTGGTACAGGATTTGTATTTATATATGTAATAGTTGAAAAAAAAATTATGAATGATCAGATAAAAATCCACAAAATAGGTATTATAAAAGTACAATGAACTCTTGGTTGTTGCCTTAGTAGTTGTAAATGCAGCTGCTATTAAAAAATTGCATTTAGCGACGACAGCCCATCTGTTGGCTCTACCTAATTAACGAACCCAACGCCGCACAATTCGCTAGTCGTTGACCACAGCTTCACAATTAAAAAGCTGTTTGTCAATTAGAACCCTCACGATCCTAAGAATGTAAATCGACAACAGCTCCCAAACAATATAACTTAATTAATTAAGTCAATTAATTAATTCAAAATATAACTTTTTTTCTACTGCCTTTTTACAGACCATGTGGATTTTTGGTCGTTATATTATTCAACTTTGTATGAATCACAAGTGTGAAAATAATTGTTACCACATGTCCCTCAGACGTTCAATATATTGATACTACTCAATAATAACGACTCAAAAATATTGATAGCATAATTTTTTCTCAATAATAATCATTTAGCGTGTAAAGAATTTTTTGAAAACTTCGAAGTTAATCCGTAATAGTGAAATTGTTTATTTTTTGTTGAATTATAGTTGATCACGCTAAAGTAAATAATTTATGATAACAAGAAAAATCCCTTTTGTAATCTAACTTTCTTAATATGAGCCAAGCAGGTTTATATTCAAGCCAAAAACAAATTGATTCATAACCATAGTTTAGATAAGTTCTGAAAGTAATTATTTAAAAAAACAGAAAACTTTGTCTTCAGTAACTTTCTCCTTAGTGAACTCATTATATTTCTTTCAACAAATAATACGTTTTTTAATATAATCTCCGGACGTATTTACAGAGTTTGTATAGTTTTACTTATCTATTTTTCAACTAAATTTAAAGTTAATTATCATTGAAACTTTAACCATTAGATGAAACAGTTTAAATACTTTAAATCAGTATAATTACAAATACTTTATATAAATTATATAATATATATATAATTATCTAATAAAATAAATACAATATATAATATAATTATAAATACTGGATTATAAAAAAGATTTTTTTTTCTTTTTTGTTAGATACTATAGTATAGAGTTTCCCAAAATTTAAGCAAGATTTAAATTAAATACAAAACACAGTTCTTTATTCTTTTGTTTCCTATTTCTTTTTCAATTTAACAGCTGATAGTTTAGGGTTAATAAAAACGGAGGAAGGGAAGTTCGCTATACGAGCGAACAATGTGTGTGTTTTTGTCGATATTGTGATAAGATGTTTCAAAGGTTTTTAAATTTCCTAAAAAATAAAAGCAGTTTCATCGAAATCGGACAATTAGGGAGAAAGCTATGGTATCTAGTTTTTCCCTGAAGAGGCAAAAATTTGGATAAATTTAAAATATACTTTTTTAATTGTTGAGACTAAAAAAACCTTTTTCTACAGATATTTAAGCATCTTTCCCAAGAACATCTTTCATAAGAGATAAGTACCTAAATGTGTACCTTTGTTCTCAGTTCTATATTTCAACACTGCAATCACCACCTCCGGAATCACCTTGCTCACTGTCTGCATAGATAACTTTTTCAACTAAAATGATATTACTCAAAAATGATGAAATTGGAGTTAGTCATTCTGTTGTTTATAAAAGCAGACGGAGTGACTAGATTTTTATTGCCTACCGTCGATATATATTAAATAGACATTTTGTTATTATAATGGTCTTAATGACTTGTTATCTGTAAGCTTTAAGCTTTAGCTCCGTTTAAAATGTATTTCGAAAAATTGTATAATAATAGCCCAACATTGCCAAAAAATAATTTCTATTCTAAGTAGAGTGATAAGTGAAAGTTGTGTGTTGTGCGCACCAGATTTTTAACATCACCAATTGATCCGGTCTGCTTGACTTTCTCAATCACTCTCTTCACAGTTGATGAAGTTAAATTCCGACTATATTTTGTACGAAATTTTCAAACTGTTGCCACAAGACTTATATTATTTTTTTTTAAAATTGGTGTGGTGCTCGCATCACTCAACTTTTACTTACCATCCAATTCTTAGCAGAAATAAGTATTTTCAGACAAAGAGGAAGTTAAAATAAAAATTATAGACGTAGAATATTTATTTACATTTCATTGTGGGTATTTTTATTTGCATAAGTACTCTTACATAAGTAAATTTTAATATTTAAATCGCTGTAATCTATTCAATTAAATATAGCTAATAAATAATACCAACAATAGAATTTATGAAAACCACATATGTATATTTATATAATATTATCGAAGTTGGTATTATATTAAGTTCATGACACGTATGGAAGCGTGTTTTAATCTTTCGGGCGAGCTTGGGTGCGCTCGTATTCCTTTGGTTCCTCAATTTCAACTATTCTTCGTTACGATCTCGTATTTCTCTTTTATTTAATAATAAAATTCCTTCATATTTTATATTTATTTATCTTTTGTATTAGAGATTGATGTGTTATGGTCAATTGTTCCAAATAAAAAAAAATAAAGGTACTTGAGGGGAGGCTAATATTGAAAATTAGCCATTTAAGAAAATCAATCAAAATAAAAACTACATTTTATTTAAAATCGCTTAATTTTACACTGACATATTGAATTCAATCAAAATCGTTAGGGCCGTTTTCGAGAAAATTGTCAAAATGTGTTTAGTCCGTGATATAAAGTGCCATTTCCGTTAAGTCAGTTTTGACGAAAAAGTTGCTGTAACGTCCCTAGCATATAAAAACCTTAAATATGCAATTTCATTTTCCTACGACTTTTCGTTTTTGAGCTAGACTGTTAACACACACAGAGACCATTTTGCGGAACTTGGTTATTTGGCCTTAAGGGACCTCAAAACGTATATTTCTGTTGAAACTGAGATTCAAAAATTTTCACGATCGCAATACTTTTCCTTTACTATATGTGTCATATATAGATAAGTGGAAGTAAAAATTAAAGCAATGAAAACACATGGATTGCTCGTATAACGCTCCATTTTTATTAACCCTTAAATGTTAGCTGTTAATTTGACAAATAAAATGGAAACAAAAGAAGAAAGAACTGTTTTGTATTTCATTTAAATCTTGCGTAAACTTTTTAGGGCTTTCTTCCATGCCTTTAAATAATAGTAATAAGTAATACAAATTAATTTCACTTTTCCAGCCGCCAAAAAATTTTGAAGAATCAAAACCAAAAAGCAAGCGTAGAAGAAGCCAAAACCTACTTCGACATGATGGCCCAGTACGCTGACGAGCTGAGGAAACTGCAGAAGACTGTAAGGATTCAGATCAGGTAACTGTGCAATTATTTTTAATTTTTACTTATTTACTGTAAATTGGTTCTATATTTCATCAACACATTGGGATGCGCAATGATACTTTTAGGCAATTACAGCTTGTTGGAAAACTGTTGACTACTTTATACTATCCACTTATCCCTGTTGACCAAATCCGATACCTAGGACTCCACCTTGACAAACGACTCACTTGGAACCCCCATACCAGACTGAAACGACTAGAAACCGCCCGACGTTTTCGACTACTCTAGCACTTACTAGACAAACGTTCTAAACTGCCAACTATTTACAAAATACTCATATATATTACTTTGGGGCTTGAGCTGGGGGAATTGAGCTTTGGGGCTTCACTAAGCCATCGAATTCCTCTCGTATCCAACCCTTACAATCCAAAATCCTACGTAAAATCATCAATGCTCCCTACTTTGTCACAAATTAAATCATCCATAATGACCTTAATGTACCATATGTTTCCGATTTAGCTCAATCCAGATACCTGTCCTTTCATAATAAACTTCTGAACCATCCGAACCCTCTCGTTTCCAACCTTGCTTCCTCTTCTATTCCTGATAGAACCCTCCGAGGCGTCTGAAAAGATGATGGCCTCGGGACCTTCTATTATAGAAATATAATTGGAATGCTACCAATGGGTAGTTTCTCTTCATGTTGCACATGTCATATTACTTTTTCATATTTACTTGTTATATTTATTATTAATTACAGTTGTAAATTTCGTTAATAAAATAAAAAGTAAATAAAAAAACTTTATACTATGCGTATTCTCATACTATGCGAAGAATGGATTTCATAGTTCGTCACAGTGTTCCATATCGTGAATCCGGCTGTGTGTATAAAATTGGTAGAGATCAATCTCTTGAAATCCGAGAATTAACGTACACGAACAATGCCAGCTAATATTTATTTATAACAATGGGTGGCTCCTCAACTTCTTATGGGTCAATTTAGCCTTTTCACAGTATTTATGAAGATGAAATTTAACAATAAATTTGAAATTACAAAATATTTAAACATTCAAATTAAAAAAAAAAAAGTAAGTAAAAATTAATGTTTTTATATAACTGCGTTATTTGAACAAATAAAAATTTTTTTTGCCGTTTTGGTGGTGTTTTTCAAAATTTCAGTAATATCATTCTCCAATTCAACTTCATTCCGTTGTGCTTCGTAAGCATCACATTCAGTCAAAATGTGACTAACTGTTAAATTGACCCCGCAGCAGAGACACTGAGGGAGTGACTCCTTTGTCATTAGGTGCTCTTAAGTTAGATGTGCGTGTCCGATTCGGAGCCTTGTCAGGATTATTCTTCTCTTCTGTTCAACTGGATGTCCGTTCGACTTGGAATTACAGAGGGCTCGATCACTTCCAACTTATTGTCTTTTAAAGCAATGCCATCTAAAAGTCTATTAAAAAACAAACAACGATTTCCAATAAAGATTCACGATTTGGGAACATAGCTACAATGAGCGGTTGTTGCAAGTTACCACCAGGACGTATTCATGGAAAGGGGCTCACAGTCAACCCGGAATTACCTCTCTACTAGAGTCCATTTTGGAGCAAAAACATACTGTTCACATTCGACAGAACGGAACACACAAAGTTTTTATTGTATGTTGTGCATTGGTAAATACCTACAATTTTCCTCGGGTTATTAAATATTTCCGAAAATGGCAAGATAGGCAAAAATATAATTGTCTCTGTAAAGTTGTAAATAAAATTAAAGTATAAGAATTGAAACAAATCTGAAAAAAAAATGTATTGTGTTCCATTAGTTCTTGAATTGATATAGATGTTTTTCCCATCTATACGTAATGCTATTGCCTATACGTAATATTAACACAATCTGCCAGACTCGAGGGCAATAAGCATTAGAGTTAAAAGTATCAGCTAATACAATATATACATACAAAAAAAAAATAAATGGAAGTAATTTAGAACAAATAAATAAAACAAAGTAAATGAAAATGAACAAACAAAATATAAAATAATAATACTGATAAAGTATACTGATAAAAGTTAAAAATGTATATGTATACATTTATATATATATATATATATATATATATATATATATATATATATATCACAAATTAAACAATATATATGAATAGATAATGGTTACAAAATCTGTAAATAACAAACGTTAGTTAAAGGTAAATATAAAAATTTTTAAAATAAAATAAATAAGTTTTAAAAAACAAAAGATTTAATAAATAGCTAAAATTCTTCTACAGTTCATCCACACCTACATTTATTGAATATATATATATATATATATATATATATATATATATATATATATATATATATATATATATATATATATATATAATGAACAAACAAAATATAAAATAATAATGCTGATAAAGTATACTGATAAAAGTTAAAAATGTATATGTATATATATATATATATATATACATACATATACATTTTTAACTTTTATCAGTATACTTTATCAGCATTATTATTTTATTTTTTTCATTCTCACTTTGACGTTTTAAGAGAAAGCCCTGATGATGGCCTGAACTTCAGGTCGAAACGTCGGCAGATGTAAAAAATAAATATTATAATTTATTTTTGCCTTCCTTTTTGACTGAGCACCCCAACTATTCTTCTCTTCATTATTTTATATTTTGTTTGTTCATTATATATATATATATATATATATATATATATATATATATATATATATATATATATATATATATATATATATATATATATCACAAATTAAACAATATATATGAATAGATAATGGTTACAAAATCTGTAAATAACAAACGTTAGTTAAAGGTAAATATAAAAATTTTTTAAATAAAATAAATAAGTTTTAAAAAACAAAAGATTTAATAAATAGCTAAAATTCTTTTACAGTTCATCCACACCTATATTTATTGAATATTAACACGATCTGCCAGATTCGAGGGCAATATATATATATATATATATATATATATATATATCACAAATTAAACAATATATATGAATAGATAGTGGTTACAAAATCTGTAAATAACAAACGTTAGTTAAAGGTAAATATAAAAATTTTTAAAATAAAATAAATAAGTTTTAAAAAACAAAAGATTTAATAAATAGCTAAAATTCTTCTACAGTTCATCCACACCTATATTTATTGAATATTAACACAATCTGCCAGATTCGAGGGCAATAAGCATTAGAGTTAAAAGTACCAGCTCATACAATATATACATCATACAAGAAAAATAAATGGAAGCAATTTTGGAACAAATAAATAAAACAAAGTAAATGAAAATGAACAAAAAAAATATAAAATAATAATAAGTAGTAATCAAATAAAGTATACTGATAAAAGTAAAAAATGTATATGTATATATATGTGTGTACTCATATCTCAAATTAAACGATATATATATATATATATATATATATATATATATATATATATATATATATATCGTTATATATATATATATATATATATATATATATATATATATATATATATATATATATATATATATATATATAATGGTTACAAAATCTGTAGATAACAAACGTTAGTTAAAGATAAAAAAAAATTTAAAATAAAATAAATAAATTTTAAACAAAAGATTTAATAAATAACTAAAATTCTTCTAAAGCTCTTCCACACCTATAACTGCCTAATACTAAAGATATAATTTTAACAAAATTTATTTTTGTTTTCAGGGATTACGTCAACTCTGACCTCCGAGACGCCAATAGACAAGAAGCAGTCGGTATCACAATCTTAGTGATAGTGTTATTAGTGTCACCAATCATAATCGTATTAGTGAGGAACGCTGTGGATACCATTCAGGTGAGTTATAAAATGGTATTAAAAGTTAGCTCTTTTGATTTTCCTTAATTAATTCATTAACTCGGTTTTCCGTAGTTAATACTAAGTATTAATACAGTAACTAGGAGCAAAACTAAAGCTGTTTATGAACTCTTAAATGATATTATTAACTTACCAGTATTAATAAAATACTAGTGTTCGCCCTGTGGTCGAAATTCGACCATAGCCATTAAAAAATTTGAGGAAAAGATATAATTAAATAAAAAATAAATTAAATAAATAAAGAATAAATCACGATTTAAAAATTCTCATTTATTAATACAAACAAAATTTCAATTTCAATTAAAAATCGAGCTTAAGTCATACAAAATAGACTCATTCAAAAATATTTAATTTTAATTGTATTATTATCACAATAAATTGATGTTATGATTAAGCAAGTAAAAAATAAATTTAAATTAGCAATTTCAATTAACTTTAAATCCATTTTTATTCAGAACTTCTCTGTAAATAATGCTCTTTTTAAATATTCTGTTATTATTTAGTGCATAGTCATGCCCATTGCCATTGAAAATATAAATTTCAATATTTTAAATGAACGTGTTCAACTTGCTGCCACATATAATTGTCCATGCGAAATTACTGGACGTTGCAATAATACACACATTTTTCCAAAACTTTTACCCTGCGATTTGATTATGGTCAGAGCAAATGCATCTATTAATAGCAACGTTGTTCTTAGAAAGACGAATGTAAGTATTGTGTCAGAAAATATTAAATTAATTCTTGGCATTAAAATTCTTTAAATAATACTTTTAAAATTCGTTAATACTTCACTCTCATTCCTGTTCCATTAACTAATGCTTGTGCAGTATGTAATTTAACAATGGATATGACTATAGAATTTATTTTTAAATTTAATTTATGAGGTATCATTCCACTAAAATTAAATGGTATCATCTCTTCAAATAATAGTCCCAATTCAGTAAAAGGAAAGTTTTCGAGTTATCAAAAACCAAAATAAAGGAAATCGAATTTTCAAAAGAAAAAATACTTAATGTTTAAAATGATATATCTCTGCAACAAATACTCCGATTTCGATGATATTTTTTTGTTATTTTGTAGGGAATTCAGAAAGCTTTCAAATAAATACTGCTATTATCAATTAAAAAATGTGTACTTTTGAGTTATTCACAAATAAAATACTGAATTCATCATAAAAATGTATGCAGCTTGTTTTCGGGAAAGTATTTTATATACATAAATTATAAATGTTGCAAGGGGAAGACTTTAGCCAAGTTTCATTAAAATCGTTAAAGCCGTATTGGCGCTGCAGTCTAAAGCGAATGACGTTTTTCGGCCACGATTTCGAAGGGAAAGGCCTAATGGTAATGAAACGTATAAAAAAAAAAACTTTTAAATATTATTGCAACGTTGTGTCAAAATTTAAAAGAAATCAGTGAAGAACTTTCGGAGATTAGTCGTTTTGAACAAACTACCATTTATATTTTTATTTACATACTATTTAATATGTTTATTTCTTGATAACACTAAACCTCGTCGATATCTATTAAACAAAAAAAGATTGAAGAAAATCGGTTGAATAATAGAGGAGTAAAAGCGGCTGAACCGATTTGTGTTTGCCTATTTATATAACGATAATCAAAGGATATAAAATCACCTTTATTTGTATTTTATAATTACTATAAAATTATATGACAGAGTTCATTATTAATTTATCTAAAAAATGTCGGAGTGTTCCTTCTAATCAAGTATTAGTCTTTTTTGATTTCTGGACCTTTAATTTATTGCTATATGTATATTTGGAAATTTTATACAGATTTTTTTTTACATCCTCAAAAACGTATTCCACTATTTAAACGAAAAATTGGTTTAATTTAGGGGAATAAATCACGCACATTTTTCAATGAAAACATCATAGATTCAGCTGGTTTTTATTTATTAAATTTATGTATAAAAAAAAAGGTCAATTCAATGCCGTTTTGAACTGATAATGAAAACGATAAATGAAATTTGTGAAGAATAAAATATAAGAGGACGCCATATAACAAGATAGCTCAACAATTTGTGTTTAATCAACATACTTTTTTTTTTTTTTATACTTTTATATTTTATTTTTTGTAAAACAGATAAATCCTACTTATTGATCGGGATTTAAATGTAATCCGTAAAGAAAACCAGGGCGTGCGTGGTGCCTTTGGATGAGTGCAATTATTTTTTCAATATATTTAAAAGCAATGAGAGAAATAGTATGTTAGAAGATGAGAAAATGATGAAGAATAAGAACATCTGAAAAAAATCAGGTAAGAAAAATGACAGAAAAATAAAAAAGGAAAGGTGCAGCGGAAAGTGCAAAATAAGATGAGCAACTTGCTAAGGCGACGATTCTCAGAAGAGGATTACTTGAGAGCTCTCATAAGACAAGAAATGGGATGGAAAAATGATAAGGAGGTGAGGCGTAGAGGAAAAACGGTTGGAGATCTCGATGTTATAGAAATATCCAGGACAACTCGATAATACGGCGGATCCAGATGGTATAAACGTGGTTGAAAGACTGAACACAGGGAGTTGAGCGGTAAATAAAATAATTTTAAAAATTTTTTAAGACAATGAAAGCTATGAGAGACGAACGTTTGATAAGCTATCAGCACATAATTATTGTCAACTAAATAATCTACGAAACACACAGAGTCTGTTTTTGGCTTCGGCGTACTGAATAACTTGGAAGTTATAGTTCTAACAATCATTAATAATGTCAAATCAGAACAGTAAATTTAAGATAAGATAACAAGATAATAATTTTAATAAGGTAACCAAAACTCCCCTTAGAATATTTAGCATACTTCTATTGATCATTAATTTATTAACCTCACGATTACAAGTACAAAACATTTAAAAAATAAATTACAATATTGTTACAACAATAGTCACATGTTATATTACAGTATTTTTCAAAGTACATTGCAATACAATATTTCGTCGGTTCAATGCACTATATGTTTCCATTTCATTCCAAGTCATTAAGAGACACTTCATAACCTTAAATTACTAAGAACTTTGATGAATTTTCCTTTAGTGAAATCAGAACGTTGTGTACTTTTCATGTTTCCAAGGCGTACATATATAAACAATTCGGAACACTTACTATGTGATTTTTAATGGATAAATAAGGTCTAAATTCACAAAAACAATTTGGTTCTTTAAAAGAATTTTTTAAAAATGAACTCCATCAAAAATGTACTTAATGACTTCTGAGATATATCGCCGGCTTAGTACAAAAAGTCGTAGAGTGACATTTCATCACATTTAATCACTCAGAATGTTGATGAATTTTCACTTTGTGAAATCAGAACACTGCTGTTAAGAGCACGTCAAATGATCAATTCAAATTAGTCATAAGAGAGGAGAGCCATCTATTGGTGGTCAGAACAGTAACGCCATCTAATGGTGAAGATGCCTGGTGTCCTGGGACCTGTAGGATCAAAGTACAATACAGCTGGGCCAACCTGGAAAGGGTCTACAAAATGGTCTCCATGACCAAGCATACCAAAAATATGTCAAGTTAGACTCAAGCAAAAGGAGGTGGGCAGAAAGAGGCAGCATAAATGTCAGAAATGCCAACACATGACGTTCAGAGAAGTCTGCAGGCCAGACCACAACATTCGACCCAGATGTACTAGCGGATCCAGGATTTAATTTTGGGGGAGGGGGCTTCATCACGAAAGATTTTTATTTTCAAATATATAACGATAATTAATTTGAAAAAAATAAAGAAAGAAATTAACTACCTGTATGAAATGGCGTTTAAGTGGTTCTTGAAGTCCTACTAAATGTAATTACACGAAAGATAACACTTTAAGAGATAGTTTTTAATGTTTTTCCTATAAAACATTGTTATATTTTACCGTTTTGCCTCAAATACTGCACTTGTAGCTTACATGTGATATATGAAAGGGTTTGGGACATTTTGATGCACCACAAAACTTGATTATAACTTTAGAACGGCTTCACCGATCCACACAATAATTAATAGGAATTCAGGCCTCTGTATGCTGTACTAAATGGTATGAATCCCTCATTCGTAAGCAAATTAAAACTAATCATATAAAATTAAAACGGATTATCTTGATTTCTAGATAACCAATTTTAAAAAATGAAATCCAAAAGTTATCGGTGTCAGTTGGAAGAGTATTAATTCAGCTTTCCAAAGGTTATATCAAAGTTGAATTCGCAGAAAATCCTGAGCAGTTATGTTTAGATGAGGACCGAAATAAAATTCATCCAAGAATATCAAGTAGTAAAGGTAGTATTTTTTTATTTATTTAACAATTCGTATTTAAGAGTTCTAAAGCGCCCTCAAAGAAATCTAATTTGTTTTTTCATAAAAATAATTTACTTGGTCTACTTTTGGTTTTTGTAATTAATGATACATTATTTATAACTACATTTAATATAATAGTCAATATTATTTTCTTATTCTGCACGAAAAAAATAAATAAAAGGCGATTTATAGCAACTTAAAAATCCGGGCAAAGCAAAGGCAGAAATAAATAACATAAATTGTTTGAAATAATATAAAATATTTTTTATGTCCTTTTTATTTAGGCATTTAGAAATTTGGTTGAAATCCGTGATATTCGAATCCTGTGCTTGTTTCCAAGAGAACAGTGAAAATTCACTTCAACCAATTAACCAATGATGGTCATTGACCAATGGACCAATAATGATTGACCAACGGAATGATTAGCATAGTTTTGTTCATTATTATGATGAAACTTCTGCTTCACTTGAACATAATTTCAATTTGATAAGTATTGCCATTTTAACAATTTTGTGCACAAGTTTTTTTTAAAAAGATTTGGTGCCAAAAAATATTATTCATAAAACATTAGCACTTGTTGTTGCGCTTAATGTGAAAGTGCGAAAATTATAACTCCAACCTTTTAAAAAGACAAAAAAAAAAGTGATTAACAATTAGTTTTCGTTTGTAAAATTTAGCA